ATTCCTGTTGGTAGCCATTGTGTTAGTTATCAACAAGTTGCTTTCTCCTTTGTGTGAACATGATGAACCACCTGACTGCTCCTAGACATGGCCACTGCTGTGGTACACTGACCAAGGCTGTGGGCTTAGCAATTCATTTGTGTTAAGCATTAGGAGTGCCATAATGCAGATTTATAGGACGATGCTTTGAGCTCACTTATGGAGAAACACTGAAGTCTTGAACACCTGAAACCCCTTTATCATCTGGCACAAAGGGAAATGTGGTAAATCAGGGACTGTTGGCTGTACCCCCAAATGGAGAGCTGCAGGCTTGAGGATTCAGATTTTAGATGGCTTTTTCTTTTTAGATCCTTACCTTTCCTGATAAATTCAGTACCAGTGTTGAGTGGATATTTCTGTGCCATCTGCACGAGGTGAGAAAAGTGCCTGCTTCTGTAGGCTCCAGTGTCCTGGCCTGACACCATGTGGGGGTGAAGATGTAACAGTTGGGTTGTGAAGCTGGAGCAGAGCATAACTACTCAACTTCAGCCACATTACATGCACAGAGATCATTACCCCGTTGCTCTGAGACCAGGCTTGCTTTTTTTTTTTTTTTTTTTTTGCTTATTTTCTAGGTGGAGTTTAAGGCATGAGCTGCAAAACACAAGGCAGCTCCAGCTGTGATTACCTCTGTGAGTGCCTTTCCCTCCTCCAGCGGTCACAGTCACCCGAGGAACAGCGAAAGCTGTCAGGTCCCTGCAGAAAAAGAGAGAAATTAGTGCTGGCAGAGTCTGTACGTGACAACTTATCTGCTGTGAAGTTTGAATCCCTTGCTCCTGCTGGTGTGATCTGTTAACATAACATGCCTGAAATGTTTTCTTACATTCTCACAGTTTTTTTCTAAGATGTGCAAAATGAAAAACGTGGGGTATTTACTCCAGTACCACAGGAATTGTGGTGGGCTGGTTTTCTTTTTTTTTATATTCACAATCTATGCCATCGATTATGCTGGTGTGTTGTAACATATGAATTAGCCACATAAACATGCCTGCATTTATGTAAAGATCTATGTTTAAAATCTTTAATGGATTTGTAGGTGATGAGTAATTAAATGAAAAAATTAAGTCCCTTTAAAAAAAAAAAAGAGGTGACATTAGAGCAGGTCTTTTAGCAAGTGTGTTTATTACATTTAGTGCTATCAATTGTTAGTGCTGAGAATGCCTTAAAGCATTTTTTTTTATATATTTAACTCTTTTTAATTCTTCTCACTGGTCAGTGAAAATACTCTTCTTAGCTTCAGTCCCATGTTCTTCATGGCAGTTCTGTAAAGTCCTGCTTCACCTGATTGGCAGGTAACATAAAAGAGTTAGTGCTTTAAAAAGACACACAGACATGCCCTCTCGATCTTGGTAATGTTTCTGTTAACTCCCCAGTTGATGGTAAGGAAGTGCACCAGTTCCTTACTTTCTGCCTGTGGTAAGCAGACTATTTTCAAGTAGTAAAGAGGCAGATAAGTTGAGTATGTAGTCTGGTTTCATTCACGTTTTCCAGGATTAATATTAAGTAGATCTCAGATCAACAGTCCTCCTCAGACTTTTAGTTGCTCCAAATATATTGATTGTTCCATTTCAATGTATTTTAACTCTCTATTTACTCCTTGGATACTATTCTTGTCCTCTTCCTTACCACATCCTCCTTTATCTTCAGTCCCCACTTTCTTGTCAGCTGTCTAAATACAGTTGCATCCAAGTTGTGCTGAGTGACGCAGATAATTGCGTGTGTGTTTGGGGGCCATTTAAAAAACAAAAAGATTATTTGAATTTAGTCCGCAAAGCAAGTTTTATTTTTGTATTTAAAACACAAGTCCAGCCAGGTAGTTGTTACAGGTTATAGACACAGAAATAAACATTTACCTGATTAGGATTTTCTGTGTAAATACCAGTAGTCCCTAATTTTGGTATTTCACTATTTTACAGATCAATGTCCCAGCTTAAGTCAGCAGCCAGAGGGGCACTCTGTGATCTGATGGGGCTATTTTTGTGAATACTTACCTCAGTCTTTTTTTCTGTTGTTTAAATAAAAGCAGCTAGATGGTTAAATTTCGAGCCTTGTATTGAAAAACAAACCCTAGGCCTAAACAAAAAGTCTGTCATCAGTTTTCTCTTGTGAATCACATTTTCACCAATATTCCTTTTTCCCTAAGTGGCTTGAAGAAAGAATTAACAGTTCTATAGAAATGCTTTTTGGTTTCCTACCTAATACGTTGCTGATTTATAGGCAGTCAGAACTAAATGTGTGAGTGTGTAGTCATTACTGTGCCGTATTTTAATTACATTTTATTTTGCTTGGAGTTTTTCCCCCATTAATTCTCAGGTTGTTTTCACATTACACTAATCATTCCAATTACACATGTGTAATTTGTCATTTGGTGCATATTAAATCCTCTTCAGCTGCATTTCAAAGACTGATGCTGAATTCTGGTTCTGAACTGATTGTTCAAAAGAAAGTTCATTCTTGACCAGAAGCATTAAATTTCCTGCAAAGTTTGTTTCCTTTATACAGCATCGAGCAGATTTGAAAAAGATGATTATTCATCTCACACTTGCGATCCGCTTCACTTATTTGTGAATAAGTGGGGGATGTCAGAGCGTGCTCCAGGTCATTGCTTTGTTCGGTCTGTAACAGGCCAGCAGAAAGGAAGATATTACAGATATCGTTCATGTAGGTGCTTCTGCATCCATTTCTAGCTCACTGCAAAACTGTATTCCTGCCCAAGAATTGTGCATTAAAACCAGAAGAGATTTTCTTTCAGTTTTAACCGTAGAAAACACACATACTGTTCTTTGGTTTGCCACTGCCTTGTTTTGGGTAGTTGAAGCAACTGTTTCATGGATTATTGTATTGCCAGCTTCTTTCTCACAGACAGGCAAAGTTTGGAAACCAAATATGAGTAGAAATACCACTTTGTTTATCCACTTTTACTGATAGATTTAGTGTGATTAATAGAGGAGATACTGTTGAGAGCAGCAGTAGGGATACTTGCAAAGGAGTAACAGAGAAAGCAGGACCCAGTATGGCTGCAAGTATTTTCTCTTGTGTGTTGATATTAAAGGTTGTCCTGGCTGTGCAGTGAGAGGAGGAATGTCTGCTTCTCAAGGGGACTGTGGGTCAGTAGGTGGGAGGAGAAGGGGCATCAGGACCTCCCTGTTACAATATATTGATAAACCATGGCTGGAAGCAGCTCTGAACTGTGCAGAGCTGCATGGATGCCCTTGCCTTGTGTAGCAGGAGTGTGTCTTACCACGTCAGGCAGGGCTAATGAGGAGAGGAGAGTCGGGGTATGCAGCCTCCCAGCTCCCTCCACCAGCTCCATCTCTGCCTGCAGAAATCACTGGGTTGGAGCGAAGTCCCAGTTTTTCTTCCTTACCCAGCCACAGATTCAGTATTCAACCTTGCCTGGATTTCTCAGATCTCTGAGCGAACTTCCCCTTCGTTAAGATGGGACTAACCAGACTGAGCAAACTGCTTTGAAATATAGGTATGAAACAACTCTCCGAATGTGCCAAGCAGCATTACTGCATTTCAAGTGACCTTTCAGTTTGAAACTTTGCCAAAGGGAGGGGAAAGGAAGCCACCGTTGAACTGAGTTCTGCACCGAGATCCTGCAAACAGATGGTGTTTGCATATAGGATATGCCGTTCGGGTGCAACTTTACTACAGCGCTCTTCGTTTTTTATAATTTCAGGCGGGCTAAACTCCGGCTATATTTGGAACAGCTAAAACAGCTTGTGCCTCTTGGGCCGGACAGCACCAGACACACCACTCTAAGTCTGTTGAAAAGAGCCAAGATGCATATCAAGGTAAAAACATTTACCCGTATTTTTATTTCTTTTAAAGCAGAATCTTCCAGAATGTGTATCCATAGAGAGGAAACTGATTTTCACACAAAATCCGTATCCGTATGTCTGATCTTCTGCGTATATTGGCCTTTATTAGTTCCAAGGATTTCAGTCACAGTATCAGGGTTTTGTGTTTTGCAATTTACCCTGCAGTCTTGGATACATAAAATGGTGATTTAGTGATTTCTTCTTAGCTACTAATTGTATACATTGTAAAAAAAAATAAATTTATCAAGCTGTTATGTGGTTAATATATTAATTTTTTAAGGACTAAGCAAAGTAGCATTGTATTGCATTGATTTCAATGTAAAAAGCCAGATCCATTCATGATCAAAAGAACTAATGGAGTCAAAGGGATTATAGCTACTAGTAAGCCTTATCCCCATCCCACATCTTTATGACCAGATCCTGAAGAATTTGACAATCATTTAAAAGAAACTAAAACTGAAGTGCAATCTGTTAGTTGCTGCTCCCCTTCCATGTTTTCGTGGGTATAACAAGTTTAAAACAAAAACTAACCCAAAATCTCACCTGTGAGCCAGCAGCGGTGTGGGTTATACATTTGCACAGGTAAATCAATGGGGATTATTCCTCAGGCCTCCTCTCTCCAAAGGCACCTTCACTTCCATTTTCACTGTCATAGTTTTCAGGGGAACGGGGTTATATGCAGAAATAAGACAAACAGGTATTCAAATGTGAAAGTTAAAGAACAGGTTTCTGCTGCTGTGTCCAGGACTGTAATTACTCATCTGGCATTTTTTCCAGTGTTACAGGGAAACAGGTCAAGAAAAGTGTCAGGAGAGGCTGAACACTGCCAGTAATCTTGGAATATTTTGGACAACAGCCTGCTGTTGTACAGCATTAAAATTCACTGCAGTTGCAAAAATGGGTATAATTCATATGAAGAATTGGCGATTAATTTAAGCAAAACCATTCTTGTGAACAACTTTACTGAGCTACTTCCTCAGCTCTTATAAGCACATTTACTCCAGCTGGGCAACCCCTGTTTTTACCATTTGAGATTTTGGCCTTTTGTTTATAATTCAGGCTAACATGCGTGAAAGGCACTGCATGTGGTTTTTGTCTTGGGCTGCCCCCCTATCAGTGGCTTATGCATACAAATTGAAAAAGTGTTTTTACAAGTGGCAAGTGTGAGAGATTAGCCATGTAGTTACCATTTCAGCTGCTGATAAAAAAGCTAGGAACAGATTCTTTCCAAGTCCATCATGCACAGCACCAAGTACTCATTTTCTGAGAACTGAAACTGAAGTTTAACTTTCTTTTTTAAGATTTTAACTGAACCTGCCCTAACTGGGTTGCCACTTAATTGCTCCCCTTCGTCAGGTCAGCTACCTCCCCGCTGCACTGCCAGAGCATGCCAACGCCTGTCTGCCATTTCTAATATAGCCATTAGTTTCGAACTTTTCACACCACCCCCCCATATATTGAAACTTGCCCTGAAAGACTGGGCGGTTTTGAGTCTCCTGGATATGAATCACTGAGTTCATTCCTAAAATAGTTGTTAGAGTTTGGGATTGCAGCCAGGAAAATACAGGAAAAGGAAATCCGATCAATTGGGCACATTTGGTTTGCTGTGCACATGGATGTACCAACCCCTTTTCTTATTATAACATTGTGTATCCACGTATGATGCTTATCTACGTAGTGTATTGCCTGGGAGGGGCATTAACACGAGGCTGCAGAAGTTAGATTTCATTCAGCCAGGAAACTGCCCAGTTCAATAGTGTCCATTATTTTTTCAAAGATAAATAATTTTGCTTTCAGGCTCGCGTTGGAACAGAAAAGTCTCTGAAAACGTTTTGCTTGTGGTTTGCTGTGCCCTGTGCCACCCCACTCTCCTCAGAAAACCAAGCATAGGTTCATTCAGACAGTAGGGAGGAATTGTCAGCAGCTGTATTCACTCCCTGCACATCTCCTAAATCTCCGTGGTCGTGTAAACACAGCTCACAGGGAAACTTGGTCTTTCTTATAAGTGCTTTTACTGCTACAACCTGTAATTTACTTCATCAGTTAGATGTTTTTGAAAAATAATATAAGATGTTTTGATTTGTGTGTCCCTCCTGCTTTTGATCCCATCATACTCATTACACTTTCTTCCCTAACTATATAGTCCATTTTTTTTAAATGGCTATCAGTGGTTTGGAAGAGGGTTCAGTTGAATCTTAAAAGATAGTATTTCTGTTACTGCAGTTGGACCAACAGTGCAGCACATTTTACCAGGTGTGAAGCATTCCTTTTTATTTCTGAAATTAATACCTTATTTTATTCAAGCAGAGGGGAGATTTTAGGTAGATGTGTGGAAGGATATTTTCACAGGCTGTTTGCTGAGAAGTTTTGGATTAATACCGTTGATTTTGTAGGAGGTTACCACAGAATTGCCATATTTGCTTTGTGGAAGTTCAAGGGGAAAAAAATGCAAGAATAAAGAGAATTGTTAGTAAATTCCTCCTACTGTATATAATTAATACTGCTTATTGTTAATTAAGCTTTTTAAATGCTAAAAATTTCCATGGCCTGCAGCAGGAGGGAGAGCATTCAGGAGGCTCGCAGTGGTTCCTTCATGGTTGTAAGTCTCTTATTTCACCTAAAGAGGTGTTACATTCTGACTGAAACCTGACTGCACTCGAGTTATCAAAGGTGATGCCAGTTTTGCCTGACAAAATGGTTTAAATATTCCCACAGCCAAGGCAACAATAATTCGGGCTTAGCTGAGGACAGTCTGCTAGCGGCAAGAGAGTCTCTGAGGGATTTCCCCCCCCCCC